AAGGTAGTCTAAGTCTTAGCTAGGAGGCGGGGTTTTCAGCGGAGGGCGTGACCTGGCGTCCTGTAATCAATGACGCTATACCGTAAGCCCCGCCTTCTGCTAAGACTTAGACTACCTTCAAAACTGAAGAATCTTTCTCCGAACCGCTCTATGCGATTCTTCAATCAATATATGCTTGACGCTCTGCTTTCTCAATCAACAGGTGCGGGACTATAGGTCAGTTTAAGCACAGGGTTTCAACAAAATGATCCACTTTAGCACCATTAACAACACATGAGGTTTCAACAGAACTGTAGCATGCAAAAACAAATGCCTCAGGGCACGTACCACCAGCAGCACAACATTTATTGATGAAATCCTAGTCCTAAGCCTCGTCCCATGTGTGTGGCTTCACGTGCAATTTCATATTGCCGATCCAAATCTCGCATCACTTTCTTTTGCTTTTCACTTTCCTCCTTGAGACGGCTACTGTCCTCCTGTAACGACTAAAAAGGAAGTCAAGATGAAGAACCACATTCGTGTAACACAGCGTCTGGAGGGGGCGTGTCACGGACATAGTTGTGAGCGTGCCGGCGGTGGACAGCCTTTGGTTCAGGCAAGAACATTCGCAATAAAACAGCGCAAGACGGCGTAGAAGCGAAAACAACAACCCTGACCCCTGGAGTCCAAGAACACGCCCTCTCTAGGCACCGTGACATGGACTTACCAAGGAGATACCAAAAAAGAAAATCAATCAAGGGAATAAATGCAACTTAAAAGAAGTTGGCCTTAAAATGAATGGGAGTTAAATATAGTCGGGTGGAGGGGGGGGGGGGGGTGGCAGGCGAATATTCTGCGATATGTTTGCTTGCCTGAGCCCTCTCATCAGACAGGAAAATGGCGTATGCACCCATATGTTCACAAAAACGTGGCAACACAGACATAAGGCTGCTCTCATACTTCGCGACAGCGTTTCGAGCGTACGCCAGCGTCTCGAGCGACAAGGAAACTACAGATATTGATCTATCGCTTGTTAGCGGTTTCACTGCCTGCGAAAAATTCAAACTTCCCGCGCTCAACGTCCAAACCGCTGGCGTACGCTGGAAACGCTATATCGATATCCATACTTTCCTAGTCGCTCAAAAAGCTGACCTGACGCAAAGTCTGAACGCCCCTCGGGTCCCCCCCACCCCAATACCTTTGCTCCGGAATTCAAATGAAGTCAAAACTCACAGTGGTTGGATCAACAGTGGGAACATTCTTGATGCCCATGAGTTTCAGAAATTTGTTCGCCTGGTCACCACCAACACCACTCGCTGTTATCGCGCTAGACCACAAGCCAACATTTTTGTCTTGGATCGGTGCTTGTTCTGTCGAGCCTTCTGTGCTT